TGTTGATGACGTATTTTGTATATTGAGAGGAAACAAAGAAGATGTCGAGGCTCATTTGGCAAATTTAAATGGAGTCCATACCAAAATGCATTTCACATATGAGATGGAAGAAGACCGAAGTCTGGCATTTCTTGACGTAAAGATTCGGGTGCGGAATGATGGTTCGCTGAGTCATTCCATTCACCGCAAACTCACACACACAGACCGTTATCTCAACGCCTCTTCGCATCACCACCCCAGACATCTAAACTCTGTAGTGACTTCACTGACAAACCGTGCATATGACTTGTGTGACAAGGAACACCTGCACGAAGAGTTGGAGTATGTACGGCGGGTCCTACAGAATAATGGATACAAGGGACAGTTTCCACCCAAACACAAATTAAGGCACCAGACACACATTGTAAGCAGGCAACCAGTATTTTTGCCATATATCAAAGGAGTGACAGACAAAATCTCGAACATACTTAATAAGTACTCACTGAATACTGTCTTCACTCCTTTACAAAAAGTGTCACAGTTTCTACGATCTCCCAAAGACAACTTCCCTTTGGAGAAACCTGGTGTATATAAGATCGACTGCAGCTGTGGTAGTTCATATATTGGCCAAACGAAGCGGACAATAGCGTGCCGAATGAAAGAACACATAAAAGCAGTCAGAAACAATGATACGCAGAAATCAGCTATCGCAGAACATTTAATCGATTCGGGTCCGAATCACTGGATTGAGCTCCATAATCCACAAATCATCTCGACAGAACGCCACTACATACCAAGATTGGTCAGGGAAGCGATCAAAATAACCAAACACAAAAATTTCAATCGTGAGGATGGGTTTAAATTGTCAAGTGTCTGGAATCCAGTGGTTCGTATGTGCAAAAACCGTAAAAATAAAAAAAGTGTCGTTCCGCGATCGGATACTGTGAGTATTGTGTGTCGGGAGCAGGTGCGAGTGAATAGTGAGAATGTGACCAATGGTAGGGGTATCGAGCGCAGTAAAAGACGACGTCAGAGGGTAGACCGATATGTCTGCCAATAACATCTACCCGCAATTACTTCAGTTACTCCGTGATCATGGCGCTTGCAACAGTGCCGAAATATCGGAGACTCATAAAAAACAAGGTACATGGTAACAATCCCGTTAATAGCTATAATGTTTTAGTTTACTTTAAATTACTAATAAGTATTAATCCAGGGTAATTTGTTTAGTTACTAGAGAGATATGAGTCTTACTTGATAAATCACGTAAGTTTTAGAAGTACGAGTTTAATTAATGTATAGTCCACAAGTATTTAAAAGTATTTTTTTGACAATAAGTATAATTACTAATGGAGGCTGAAGGACCATTTTTTGTTTCCTGCCAGGCGGGAGAGCAGGTGGGAAATCCTTATGCATACATACCTCACAGCCGACTTTAGGCTAATGTCAGCATCTACGGCTACTGCGGACGATGCATACATGCTTATGATTTAAAGGAGAACTGGCAAAAATGCATGGAAGCCTGCCCAGGAACCAATAACAACATGCGACATATAAATGGAAAGATTTTTTTTTTCTTTAATTACCACGCACGCTGGCCTTCGTTGTCATCGTCTAACTGTGACCAAAATTCCAAAGCGTACAAAGAAATTTGGTGACTAATTTCATTGTCGCACTATCCGAAAATAGAATGCTCTGCTCGCGCACGTGTTCCCTCCCTCTTACTACCCCGGATTCTTTAAAAGAGGCGTGAAGAAACAACATGCAGGCCGGCTGGATTAGGATGGCTTGTGTGACAGGTAGAACTGCTGTATCAGCTATCTTTGCGTCTGGACTTCACACCGTCACTTAACATCAGGTGGGGTGGAGTCATTTGTCGGACCTATCTATAATAAAGACAATAATAAAAAAAAATATGCATCAACTAATTTTAGTTTATTTTGTAAAACTTACATAGCGAAGTACCAAAAAAACAGTTAAGTGCGAGGTATCTTTCACATGTCAAATATATATATATATATATATATACATACTAGCTGTGCCCGCGGATTTACCTGCGGTTTATTAGGGATATTTTCCCGCAGAAAAACGTAGCCTATATGTTAATCCAGGGTGTCAGCTTACTCCATACCAAATTTTATTAAAATCGCTCCCGCCGCTTAGACGTGAACTAGTAACAACCATACACACTCACACACTCACAAACTTACGCCTTTATAATATTAGTATGAAAGGTAATAAATGTTCATAATTATATTTTGAAGAACATAAATTTATAAAAAATTAAAGCAAGTAGCAGGTTGTGACAACAGACGTTGCCACCCGACCAGTCGATATGATAAAAAACTGCTTTTCAATCTTCGTCAATTTCAATTATAATATTTATTAAATCTCCGGTTGGAGGAGTAAAAGGCTCTTGCCTTTCTATAGTTAGATACCACACAATAGACCTTAAATGGGCACAACTCCCTATTATCCAGCGGTCTGTAACAAGTGTATTATAATGTCAAATATATTCCTGTTAACCAAAACCAACACATGACGAGACTGTATACAGCCCATTATTGATTGTATACGGCCCATGATTCATCATCATATCTCGAAATCATATAAAAATAGTTGTTTCACGTTAATTATATACAGATCAAGGTGCAAATTCTCCGCATAAAACGATGTGGCCATAGTTTAAGCTGATATGACCCCAAAGTAAGTAACATGATTTAAATTATTTTCCGGCTGCTAATAATAAAGCTATTATGTCATAACTTTTTTCACACAATTTAAGGCACTCCTGTCGGAGAAGAGACACTATATGGGGACAATTAGGCGCCATATTGTAAAAAGAAAAATAAATAAGTTGACAAAATATATCATTATCTAGATAATCGAAAATCATGGTTAGGTTGCTCACACCAATTTTCATTTTATATGACTTTAGTATCTACAACGATTTAAAGGTGTATAATAACCGCTTTCGCTTTTAATTTCAATCTTGCGTTTATATGGATCTTTGTTACTCTTTCACCCAAAAAATAGTGAATGGATTTTAATGAAACATAACAATAGCTCCTTCATAATAATAACATATAGATAACAATTTATATAGCTATTGAGTGAATTGGCCAAAATATAACAATGAGTGTCACGTAAGACGGAAAAAAATCTCCCATCTGCGAGCCATTTTGGCCTGCCCTGCAAAATCATGAAAATAATATATTACATAAATATAACGTATAGTGGAAATGTATCTCTTAAATAGTTCTACAAAAAAGTCCGTGACAGCATATATCTATTTTTAATGTGTAAGCCATTTTCGCTACAATAGTGTATCAAAAATAAAATACTATTTGATTTCCATTTTCAAAATGCACATTTTGTATTAACAAATTATTTTTATCGAAAGAAATACCTTTATTAATTTTTATATTTAAAGACGATCGACTTTGTCTTTTACACTATGTTATTTCGACAAATATTGAAAAAGTAACAACGATGACAAAGTGATAGCGCGGTGTACTACGCAGGAGCAGACTGTTTATTTAACGATATTACTTCATGTTACTAAAGGGTTACTTAACATAATGAGAAATAACCTATTATTCGCTAGTAGAAGGTACATACTTAATGGATTCTCTGTCTTTATTAATCAGCTCACAATAATGTAGATTTTATAATCATAAACGATATTTTGAAGCAAATAATATAAAATTTTACAGGTAAGTCACCCCTTTCACCACCCTACCCCTATAAGTATTTCGATAATGTAGCTTAGAACCAAGGTCCCATCTATTTCTATATGGAAATTCATTATAATCGATTTAGCTATTCGGGCGCAACAAAAAAACTCGCTTTACTTTTTCGCATCTATAATAATATATTATACTAGTGATCTGCCCCGGGAAAATCGGTTCAGTAGTTTGAGAGATTATTTGTTACAAACATACAACTCTTGCCCCTCTATTACATTAGTACAAATAGTGAGGATAATAATATTTAATTGATGAAAAAGATTTAAATATAAACTAAATAATAGTTTTATTTGATTATATTTGTAAAAGTTACTTAGCAATTTTGGTAAACAGTGATTCGTTATTCGCTTATTTATACATACTTATTCTTATACCACGCGCAACGCGTGGCACCGAGAAATGTACGGGAGTGGCGCGATATTTGTGCTCGCCACGGAATATTGTTTAATATAGACTTTACTAGTATAAAATTGTGTTGAAATGTGTTCTCTTAATTTATAGATGTAGATCTTAAAAAAACAAATTTTCTATTAATTCAACCGAATTATAAAAGTGGTAAGGAGCTCGATACCGCAAGTGGTTAGCGCGTTCGGCTGCGATCGTTGAAGTTAAGCAACTTCGGAAGGCACGGCCGTTGGGCCCGGCTGCACGTGGTAGGTCATAGCACAATCTCTCTATTCCATCTATAGGGAAGGCCTATACCCCAGCAGTGGGGACATTATTAGGCTGATATTGATAATAAAAGTGGTCTGAAAGTCATCAAACTTTCATAGGTAATTCTTTATAAGGAACAAAACACCCCTAAGTTTTATTTCGGACTTATGACACACCCGTTCGCGTTCACGGCGAGTGTTCTGAGGAGTTATTCTCTCTCATTCCACCTTCCCCTTTCCTTCAGAAAACCACGCTGACCTACGTTGCCACCGACTTACTGTAGCCACTATTCAAACGCGTACGTCTGGATGGAATGGTCTACTCGCTCACCTGTTCCCTCCCTCTTACAACCACGGATCTTTTAAAAGAGGCGTGAAGAAGCAACATGCAGGCCGGTGCGGCAGGTAGAACTGCTGTATCAGCTATCTTCGCGTCTGGACTTCACCGTCACTTAACATGAGGTGGGGTGGAGTCATTTGTCGGACCTATCTATAAAAAAACACACTGTTTAAACGTTGAATAAAATCGATTGAATTGTAATAAAGAGTTGCAGCATGCGCATGCGCACGCACGCATATAAATATCGGTGCGCGATCGAACGCGACACGTCATTCGGCGGGCGACGCTCAAATAGCAAACATCGAATACAAGGATAGCTAATAAAAGAAAAGTATAGATAGACATAGAAGACACTCTAATTCTGCAATCGTACAAGACTCCCAGTGATCCACCATCGGCTGCTACCGCATCCAACCGACGAATACTGCATCGGGGGCATCTGAGGGTGAGAGCTCCCGGGTAAACAGACGAAGTAAGGTTAGTTTAGTGTTGAGGTCAGCGAAGCGCCAGAAAGATTTATTTTTAAAGTTTTTATTTAATTAGGTATTATGGAATAAAACCGTATGGCGGATCGATCAGTGTGATGGCGATTCCACCATAACCCCAACATTCCATTATACATTGGAAATGGGTTGTGATAAGGAACATCGTTTGTATATGACACTTTTTCGTTAACCTTCATCTTCCTTATCCTACACCGTGCAGGGGGCATGGGGTAACCGCATCGCCGTATCGCCCTACCCCAGTGGCTCTTAATTAGTATCGTTTAAAAAGAAGTAAGTATTAGATTAAAGAAATGTAAGAAGAGCACTGCATTAGAAAAATCATGTCACCTACGTACGACATTTTGTTATTTTCCGACGTCCACGCGAACGAAGACGCGGGTACAGCTATAGAATAAAATTTATTCTCTACCTACAGCTTTATTTAAGACGAAGAAGACAACGTATGAAGAAAATCATATATAAATTTTATATAGTATTATTTTAATTAAAACAATAGATACCTACGTTTAAATAACAAAAACTTAAAAACTACTTGACGACTAAATTTAACAATCCAAATTACCTTAACCTACTTAAACACTTAAATAATATGAGGCTAACAAAATGGTGTAATTACAAAAAAATATACAGGAGCTGTAAAAAACTGAATGACACACCTACTGTGAGCGTTTAACGTGGTGTTTAATTTATCAATTTTGTAATTTTTATACTATTTTAGGTTGTTTTGATTGAAAATGAGTTGAGGTTCAAATTCAGCGGATCCATAACTTCCGGGCTGTGAAAAAAAAAGTATTTTGACAAAATGCGAAATTATACCGTTTTGTTCGGCAGCTCCCCATATATAATTTACAAAATAAAAAATATCATAATCGAAATCAGATCCAAATCTTATTATTATACTAAACTAGCTGTGCCCCGAGGTGCTACCCGTGGTTTATTAGGGATATTTTCCCGCAGTAAAACGCAGCCCATGTGTTAATCCAGGGTGTCAGCTAACTCCATACCAAATTTTATTAAAATTGCTCCAGCCGTTTAGACGTGAAGAAGTAACAAACATACACACTCACAAACTTTCGCCTTTATAATATTAGTGTGATTTAAAGCGATTTAACAGTTTCAGTGCGTACAAAAAATATAACTACTCTGAGAAAGTTGCAGTTCAAGATTTTTTTTTTACCGTTTTGTATTATCCCGTTATTGAAATGAATAAACTATAAAACTAAATAAAAAATCTACATGCAATAGAAAAATTGTAATGCCTTAGCATTAACAATTCATTACTGTAGCGACAGCACAGTTTTTTTGTTACCTTACATTTAAAACACAACGAAGTAGCAATTTTACCCTTTTTTTTTGGATAACACGTAAAACACGTTTTTCAAACTTCAAGATATTCAGCACTGGAAGCTCAATGTGGTAAAGATGTCTTTATTATTACCCTCTTTTTTAGATTTAAATTCAAATACCTGTATGAGGTCCTCACATATATTTTATTATTTATTTAATCAAGTACTGTTACAATCAGAGGCGGCTCTAGCCCTTGTGGCGCCAGTGTGCCACCTTGTGGCGCCCCCTAGCAGGAGCGGGGTTAAAACGGAATACTTACAGTTATATTTTCATAAAAAAATCGGGTGCAAATTACAACAATAAAAAAATCACAACTTTGTAGTTCTTTTAATTTAAAACTATAATATCTTACAGGGCGCTCGTACACACAAATATACACACAAACAAATGTTTTCACAAAAAAATACTTTTCGTGCTTTTGCATTAGAGAAATCTTTAACAATGACTTGAATTTTGATTCCATTTTCAATACTTATGAATGATAAATTTGTCAATCTACTTTGCGACAATGTTGATCTTAGAAAGTTTTTAATTATTTTTAGTTTAGAAAATGACCTTTCACTGTGTGTAGACTGGAAGTGTGAGGTAAATCCTCAGTGCTGTGGACAGATTTGGGAAAACTGAAATCAATTTATTCGTAAACAAGTAATTTAAAATATCCAACGGGGTAGTGGAATCATCAATAACATCGGTAATAATTCGATTTCATTAAAGAGCTCGAACTTTTACACATCTGAAGAGCCGGCTTGGCAAAGTTTATTTTCTAAATTAGAACAATGTGCTTTTCTGTATCCGAGTGCAAATCCTTCCAGTGTGTAAATTTTTGAAGAAATGAAATAACTACATTATTTTGATTGAACAGTTCGAACTGTTCATCGAAGAAAATAATTGCGGTGTCTAATAAATAGTAGTAGAAATTGACTTTAAAATGTGTTTTCGCATCTGTGATCGGTTCATCCTCCGCCTCATAATTAAAAACCCTTTTTACGAGCGCGAGGGCGTGCAGGTGTGGAAATTCTGCTACTGCCTCGACTTCTTCCGCTACAGTTTTCACGCTGTTAAGGAGCTTTTCAAAAGCGGAGTCATTACGGAATTCAGAGAAACTTATCTTTGCATTATCAATTATTTTCACCGCTTCTGACAATTCAACGTCTGACTTTTGAAGTGCCTTGCTAACTATATTTATCTTGCTTAAAATTTCAAACCAATTAAGCAGAAAGCATATGAATTTAAGCGACTTCATTTTTCCCTGTAATGGATTTGCCATATTTCTAGACACCGCTTCTTTGCTCCTATCGGAATATGTGGTAAACAAGGCATCATACACTTTTACCAGTTCAAAACGTAGGGCTTTTACTGCTTCAATCCTGCTCTCCCATCGACTATTTGACACTGGTTTTAAACTTAAAGTTCGCACTTCTTTAGTATTTGCCACCGTGCTATTGACGCTGAAAAAAACAAAAATTTCTTGCACAATTGAAAAGAAATTTATTATTTCTAATGAACTTTTAGCAGCGTCATTCACTACCAAATTTAGGCTATGTGCTGCACATGGTACATAAAATGCGCACGGGTTTATATCGCAAATTCGTTTTTGAAGACCTACATGTTTCCTACATGTTCCCTTTCATGTTTGCACCATTATCGTAACCTTGACCACGCATAATTTGTATGTCAATTTCGTTTGAGATTAAAAATCTAACAAAAATTGAGTTAAACCCAGGCCAGTAGTGTCTGTCGGTAGGCACTGCGCTAACCGTCCGACGCATCCGCCTCCTAGGCCTGGATGTGGCCCTCGATAAAACGAGGGCCATGCTGTTCCACGGCCTACGCCGCAGCATCCAACCGGGGCTCCATATCTGAGTGGAGGGGTTCCGTATACCGGTCGAAGTAAGCCTGAAGTACCTCGGCCTGGTGTTGGATCCCTGATGGAGTTTCGAGAAGCACTTCAAGCTCCTCGCTCCATGGCTGTGCTGCGGTAGGTCCGTTCCATCGCGCAGGCAGAGGCCTTGCGGCGATGGAATGAGGCACTCGCCCATGTAAGCGTCTTCCACCGGACGATAGAGGCCATTCGTCGAGTGATGGAGGAGTGGGTGGGTCGCCGGCGCGGCGGCCTCTCGTTCCGCATGGTGCAGGTACTGACCGGGCACGGATGCTTCGGTCACTACCTGTACCGTGTCGCCCATCGGGAGGAAACGCCGCAGTGTCATCACTGCGGCGCCCCGGACGATACGGCCGAGCACACCTTGCTGGAGTGCTCAGCCTGGCGGCAGCAGAGTCGCGACCTGATTGTGGCGCTGGGAGGCGGAACCCTCTCACTGCGGAGCATGGTAGAGGCCATGCTCCGTAGCAAGTCGGCATGGGAGGCGGCTGCCTCCTTCTGGGAGAACGTTATCTAGCAGAAGGAGGCAGCCGAGAGGGAGCGGGAGGATGATCCCCTAGCCGCTCCCTCTCACCAAAGAAGAGCGGGCAGGAGAGGACGAGTGCGTGCCCTAGCTACGCCCGTCCCATGACCCTGCCCGCGGGGATCCCTCGCTGGCCGGTACGGCGCATTGTGCCGTGCCGGCCACCGAGGGATCCCGGGACAGCAGCCCCCATCTTGTAGTTCTGTCCTGCAAAGAAGGGAGCGGCGGAGGGAGCTACAGGGGCACGCCCAAGTAGTCCTCCGCAGCGGACGGGGGGCGGTATGGTGGGCACTAGGCCGCGTATTCAGTCCCACGCGCGAGCCATCCTGCACACGTCTGCGGGGTCCCCGCAATACCTCAGGAGACCCCTGCCGTGGAGCCCCGGTTAGGCCGGGAGGCTGCTGGGTGCGGAGACGCGGAAGAATCCCTAAACGGGGATCCCGCGGTTTCGCACTAAGCATCTTAGAGGGTATTCGCAGGGTTTTTTAACGGATGTTATGCCGTAAAGCGCCCGTAAGAGTTACGGGGTCCTTAGTGGGCAGCCACTGTGGGGGTTCGTAACTTCGGGAGATCTTCCCCAAAAAGCAAGACATTGCCTAGCTAAAAAATGAATTATAAATAAATAAATATTTAACAACACTCACGCCAATTAGCCTAGTCCCAAAGTAAGCACTGTAAAGCTTGTGTTATGGGATGCTAGGGTAACGGATAGAATACATATACAGTACATATATAAGTATATTTATATAGAAATACATATTAAACATCCATGACTGGAGTACAAATGCTCGTATTCATCACACAAACATTTCCCCCACCGGGATTCGAACCCGGGACCTCTCGAGTCGGCGACACCATGAAACCCGGCGTATAAACCACTCGGCCACGGAGGTCGTCAATTATGTTAATTATTCGTTCGAGTACTGCAACCCAACGTTTTTTTTCCGTTCAATTTATTTTTGGTTCAAGAAATCTACCGACTTTTTTTCAATGTGATTTGTTTGTTAAAACATGATGGGTGCCCTAAGCTCTTTTCATGATGCACTCTGTATGTAGATTACGTTCTGTACTATCTTTTTTGTGCAGTCATCGAAATTCTTTTTTTTCGCTAAACAATGGGCTCTTGACAAGACTTGATTTAATTTCAAGATGTGCAAGTTTCTCCATCAATGTGTTCAGTACTTCACAGTACACATCTGTAGTATTGCTCATCCCGTTT